CCCCAAAACCCCAAAACCCCAAAACCCCAAAACCCCTATTTAAAATAACGTAATTGTAAAGATCTTTAATAGTATAAATGAACGCACTTATTTTCCTTGGATTAATCACCCTGATCATCTATGGCATCCTTGTTGATGCTACTTTCTTCAAGATTTACATCCCACTTGTAATTGTGTATTGGGTGGTAAGCACTGTACTGTTTGGCAGAAGGGATTCGGTTGGAAAAAGGAGAAAAATCACTATAGCGTCCTGGGCTGACCCTCAAGACCCCTCTAGCTACATGCCTGTTGAGTATGATGTAACTGACTTAGTCGAGTACATCAATAAAGAGAATAAAAAGGAAGGTAGCAAGGCTAAACTTACCATGACTTACGCAGTAACCAAAGCAATGGGCATCGGATTCAGCCTAGCCGCTGATAATATTGGAAGAATAGCTATGGGTCATTTTAGAAGCATGAAGCAGATTGATATAGCTCTCCTAGCAGATGTCAAAGGTGGAAAGGACCTTGTTCCTGTCACTATAAAGACTCCTCACCAGAAAAGCCTTGAAGATATTGCACTTATAGTCAAAGAGAAGGCCTCAAGGGCTAAAAGTGGGAAGGATGACACTCACAATAAGAACTTCGCATTAGCAGATTTTGTACCAAGCTTTATACTCGGACCTATAATTTCAGTAGGGTCTTATCTAGCTTTGAATTTAGGATGGGATGTACCCATTGTAGGAGCCAAAGGCGACCAATATCCTCCTATTATTATCACTAATATTGGCTCCTTTGGCTTAGAGAAAGGATTCGCGCCTCTTCCTCCAATGGCAACAGCAATTTGTTCATGCATGGGTGCTGTGAAGGACAAACCATGGGTAGTTAATGGTGAAATCGAGGTTAGAAAAATTATGACTATTGTTCACACAATGGATCATAGAGCTGGAGATGCTGCTCTGGTGGTAAAGCCTTTTAAAGTTATCCAAAAGTTACTCGAAGACCCGTCCTTGTTAGAATCAGTGAAATATGATGGGGATAAGATCCTTAACCCAGAAATACTAGATTTAAAGAAAAATAAGTAAATCGTGACGTCAATTCTGTACAATCATATAGGGGTTTTGGGGTTTTGGGGTTTTGGGGTTTTGGGG